CCTCGACCCAGAAATCGACCATACTCGCAACTGGAAAGTTGGTTGCACTAACTAGAAATCGTCAAATTGACCCAAAAAAATCGACCAGAAATCGTCACATAAGCAACTAAGCAACCTTCTTTTTCTGTTTTTCACGTATTTTTGTTATTTATTGACTATTGTTGTGAAATCGGGCAATCGGCCATGTTCTTTTGAGTTGTAAATGGCTAAGCGTTGTTCATGCTATGTGGAAGAAGTTGTTCATTGTTCATTGTTCATTGTAATTGCAGTATTAATTTAACTGTAGTATTAAATTTAACTGTTCATTGGAATTTAACTATGAAATCGACCATGTTCTTTTGAGTTGTAAATGGCTAAGTGTTGTTCATGCTATGTGGAAGAAGTTGTTCATTGTTCATTGTAATTGCAATATTAATTTAACTGTTCATTGGAATTTAACTGTGAAATCGGCCATGTTCTTTTGAGTTGTAAATGGCTAAGTGTTGTTCATGCTATGTGGAAGAAGTTTTTCATTGTTCATTGTAATTGCAGTATTAATTTAACTATTCATTGGAATTTAACTATGAAATCGGCCATGTTCTTTTCCATTGGTTTATTTGTTGCCTATTTTGTTGGTTTATCTTTCTGAAAATGTTATCTTAATTGATGATGTATAGGAGCAATGGAAAATACTCCTAAATCTCCAAAAATCGAACACAATGATGAACCAAACTCGTCTAAGAAAAGGGGTGGTAGAACTTCAAACGTTTGGGATCACTTTTCAAAAAAGGACTTTAGATGTTTTTGTAATTATTGTGGAAAAAACTATGCTTACCACAGTAAGAAAATTGGCACAAGTTCTTTGTGGAATCACTTAAGGAACCAATGTAAGAAGTATTTGGATAGCTTTAACGATAAAAAACAAAAATTGCTTAGCTTTACCACAATCAATGAAAATGAGGTGTCATTTAATAAAGAAAGATGTCGCAAAGCTGTGGCTAGGTTTGTGCTTAAGGATGAACAACCCTTTAGTGTTGTAGAGGATGAAGGATTTTGGAAACTTGTTCATGAGTTGCAACCAAAATTTGGTGTTCTTAGTAGAATAACTGTTGCTAGAGATATTTATCAGTTGTTTTGCGATGAGATGAAATTGAAGAAAGAGTTAACAAAGGTCGATCAACGAATATGTTTAACAACTGATTGCTAGACATCTTCCACATAAATGTCTTATATGTGTCTCACTGCACATTACATTGATAGTAATTGGCATTTACGGAAAAGAATTATAAATTTTTGCCAGATTTCAAATCATAAGGGTGAGACAATTGGTAAGGTTATTGAAGCTTGTTTGCTTGTGTGGGGATTGAGAATGTTTTTGCTATTACTATTGATAATGCATCTGCAAATGATGTAGTTGTTGCTTTTGTTAAAAGAATGGTTAATGCATGGAATGGATTTGTTCTTAATGGTGAGTACATGCATTTAAGATGTGGTGCTCACATAGTACACCTAATTGTAAACGAGGGATTGAAAGAGATGCATAATTCAATTACTACAATTCATAACTGTGTTAGATATATTCGTTCATCTCCTTCAAGGTTGCAAAAGTTTAAATCTTGCGTTGAGAAGGAAAAAGTTGATTACAAGGGGTGGTTGGTTTTAGATGTTCCTACACGATGGAATTCTACTTTCATGATGTTGAATGTAACTCTTAAATTTGAAAAGGCATTTGAAAGGTACGCGGATGAAGATGACAAGTTTTCGAGTTATTTTGAGGAGAAAGAAAATGATAAGAAGAGAATTGGACCATGTTAAAAGTCATTCATATTCCAATCTTGACTTGTTTTCATGTTAACTAATTTAGCTTTGAACTCCTTGTTTGTTAATCTTTGACAGATAAGGGTAGAATATATAAGTTGCTGAAAAGGTTGTTTCTGATAACTCAATACATGGACTGCGCCTCACTATTTCATATTAACCAAGGGTAGCGGAGTACTAAAGGAGAATCTTCAAGGGCCTTTCTTGTCAAATCTGAAATATATATAAAGGGGCATTTGACCGACTCAGCTCATAATACAACTCAAATTTTCTCTAAATCTCTCTCACCTACTCAAGGAGCTCTCTCAATTTAGTTCTCTGTTTTCATAAAAGATCAACTTTCGATCTTAATAAATCTACACATTGAGTTAGTATTTCTTGTTC